GAATGGAGGAGAAGGGATTGCGGCGTGACCATCCCCGCTGGGGGGTGATTTCTCGCTTTCTGTCTCTATGTCTCTCTCTGTCTGTCTGGCGAGTGCATGCGCCCTATAGCGAAAATCTCTCCAAAAAAAATAAATTATTTTATTTACTTTTATTTGTTTATTTTAATTTGACCAGAGAGGGACAGGGGTGGGGGGGAGTGAGAAAGCAAGCCAACAGGTTCAGGACTTGAACTACCATTGGCCATGTGGAAGTTCAGTGCCTTTAACCATCACGCCACCTGCCGGCCCCTCTTGGTTATATCTTGATTGAATATAAATATATATATTGGAATCGCTTAAAAATAAGTTTGTAATCTAGCATAGAGAGAAGACCTGTGTAAGGACTGAACACAGTGCCCTAGGAGGTAGAGTGTACTGAGAGTTTGGAGGAAGGTGAGGTGACCACCTGCTGTGCTGTAGGAGGGCCTGGTAGGATTTAGCAAGGCCTTTCTGAAAGAGGCTGTATCTGAGCCACGTCTCGAGGATCAGGATTTGAGAGACAAGGAAGGGTGAGGGGAGAAGGTGTCCAGCCTTCCAGGCAGAGTGAGCCAGGTGCGCTTAGTGTCTGAGAGAAGGTGCCTCACTTGCCACGCCCTAGTCATGGCGGCTGTGGAAAAGGGTGGGTGAGTGAGTGAGTGACTATGATGGACGACAGCGAGAAGAGCCCAGGCAGTACTGGTAGGCTAAGCCCCACAGTCACGTGGTTTCCTTAGGCAGATACACTCCTCAGAGAAATACTCTTTAAAAACAGTTGTTGAAGAGTCTGCATTGAAGAAGCACAGGAAGAGGAGAGGGAAGCACACAGTAGGTCCCCGTGGAATACGAAACCTAGAATGGGACTTAGAAGGAAATTCCTAACTTGCTTTGATGGCCATGGCTGTCCTCTCCATCACCTTCACTATTACAAGTAGGGACAGTTGAGACACACCTTGCAGGGCCCACTGACCAGAATGCCCCGTCTCTCATGCTTTCATGCCATGGGAAGCTGTATTTCTCATACTCTCCATTTTCACTAAGGCATGACGCAAACCTCCCTAATGAGGTTCTACTCAATTTAAGCACTGAGTACGAGCTAAGTGAACTGCTGTGAAGGTTCAATTAAAAGATACCCTGGGATTTGACAATTACAATATGCTAATTCTCAGAACCTTTGGAAAGTTTCTCTCCCTTTGGGATATATAGGTTGCTTTGTCTGCAACAAAGTTTTTGTCTACTTTGTAGAAAAGTAATAGTTGTTCCAATCAGGGGAGCGTGACTCGTGAGAAAGAAAGTACAAACGAGTGTAATGCGTCCGTATGTGTGTGGTAGGGAAGGCTGACTCCAGGTTTACATGGAGGCTTACTGGTTTGTTTCACAGCTATTTATTGTGCACCTGCCATGTGTTCCGCACTAGCTAGGCACTGTGATACAAGGTCAACATGGAAGACATGCTCCTAGCCTTGCAGGACTGGCAAGTGGATGGTGAGAATGACACAGGGTGGCTTGTGATCTGATGAAATGATGGAGCAGAATGGCCATGGGAGAGATACCTTTGCCTGCCTCTTTCAGGAGAATATCTGAGAGAAAGTGCTCTGAATCTAAGACCTGAAAAAGAAGTAGAAATAGGGACCAGCAGGTGGAGTAATGACTATGTGGCTGGATTCCCATGTAGTCGACCGCGGTTCAAGTCCTGGACTCGGTGGCTTAAGCTCATGCCAGGCACATGTGCATGCGTGTCCAAGATCCCGAGAGGAGAATGGAGGAGAAGAGATTGTGGCATGCCCCCCCCCCCCGGGAGTGATTTTTCGCTTTGTGGCTCGCTGTCTCTTTCTGTCTTTCTGGTGAGCGCATGTGCCCTATAGCAAAATCAAAAATGAAGGAGAAGGAGAAGAAATTCATCAGACTGGTACAGAACAGAAAGAATGTTCCAGCATGGAGGAAAAAAAAAAAAGAAGGCCGGGACCAGCAGTTAGCGTAATGGCTATGTCGCTGAACTCCCATGTAGTCGACCGCAGTTTGCGTCCTGGACCCGGTGGCTTAAAACTCACGCCGGGTGCGTGTGCATGCGTGCCCAAGATCCCGAGAGGAGAATGGAGGAGAAGGGATTGCGGCGTGACCATCCCCCTGGGGGGTGATTTCTCGCTTTCTGTCTCTATGTCTCTCTCTGTCTTTCTGGC